GAACTCTACTTTTTTAGTTTTGTGACTTTGTAGGAATTAGTTTTTACTCAGCACAAGAATGAATGCCTAAATAGATTATGGCTGATGTGGAAATTAAACCTCCATGTAGAGTTGATTTATTCGTGACATAAAATTTTCTATCATCACAGTCTGGTCACAAAAGGATCAGGGGTTAGCAGGCTCTAACTTTTGCTTACTGTAAACTTAATCTAGACAGAGTCTACAAGGACCTCCACATATCTTGATGGCTAAAACAAATTATTTAATAATGTTTCTAAAAATAAGCACGTGTCCAGAACTTTGTGGGCCCCAAGGCTAGGACAAGAACTCTCCAGGACACAGATCATCACTGGTAGTAAGCATTTCATACAATACCTGATAAACAGCTTGGACTCAACTGGCTTAAATGTTCCTGCAGCTTTACACCCTTTGCTTTCCCTTGGTTTTAATTGGAAGATGACAATGGCTGGTAATTGCAGTGGCATGATGGTTTAGAGGTATGAATGCCTCTGGTTTGGATTTATAAGAAGAGAGCTGATAAAACATCTGCTCAATACACGGTGTTTATGGGGCTAAGTAAAACTTTCAAGTAACTCTGCAAATATAGTTGGAAAAAACAGACAAGTTTGGGGTCCCAGTTAAGACTCAGGGGCCCCAAAGCTTGTTCATTTTTTCTTACTGCATCAGTCTAACAAAACATTTCACCTTGCTTCATAAACCTCATACAGCTTCTATCACCTGACCATCACAATTACAACGAGGTAACAGCTGCTTAGATTTTAGAACTACACAAGCACTTTAATATATTACAACTTGGAGATATTAAGAAAGAAATGGCAAAAGCTCGAAATAATGCTATAGCTGCTTAAGTGTATTCCTGAAAGGAAAGACTATTATGATGCTGGCAATACACACCTTTCAGTACTTTTGCAGAGCAAAATGCGGTCTGTAGTGCTGATGACTGCTGTGTTCAAATAAACACTCTCTCTCAAGGAATATTCTTCCTTTTGACTGATCCTACTGCTGAAACCCTACTGGTTCACGATAGCTTGTTGCTATGGATGGGTAATGATGTCACACATTCTGCCCTGTGTCCATGCCAGAAAATAAATGAGAATGATTTTTTTAACAACTAGGAGTTACCTAGCAAATTCCCTGGAAGGCCTGAAGTGAATTATGAGTAAGAAAGCAAGATGCCCTGTTGACCCTACCTGCACTGCATCTTTATGCCAGTGAAGTGACACAGTAAAACTCCACAGTAAATACTCTACAGATTTACAAGGTTGTGTTACTGCAACTTACCTTGTTATCCAATAGATTTCAGTGGGCTGAAGATCAGCAGCAGGCTAGGTGAAGCGTGGCTTAGGGGGCTCACACGTGAACATGTGTGCCCTTGGAAGCTACGCAACTTTGTTTGTCCTTCTGAAGTCTTTGGAAGAGGGTATACTGCTCGTGTCCTTCCCTCCATCAGTGATACTCTTGACAGGAAAATGATCCTGAGCAGGGTACAGACATCACTGCATCAGGCAGCAATTGCCACGCTACTGCCTTCTCTCACACCACCTTTCAAATTAGGTTAGATCTGTCCTTCGAGGTCGGCATCTGGAAGGCAAAGACCAAGAGGAAATATCTTGTAAATACAGACAAAAGAAAGGCTGTAAGAACACCAGCACTGTTACAGCCCCCCAGAGCTTGGTTCCTGCTCCCTCCTCTCCCCTTGGACAGTGGTGTTTGGAATACGAAAGTTTTTGTCCCGAGGTGAGACCACCGGAGTTTCAAAGCTGCCTGAACTACCAGGATACCCCCTGCCCTGTAGTTTATAGCTGGCATCCCTCTCTAGGAAGGCAGCCTTACCTCAGCGCCCCCTCCCCACACACGAGTGGGAGGAACAGGCCTTCGCGGGGAGAGCCAGGCCAGCAGTCGGGGCTGACAGGCAGGGCGAGAAAGCCAACCGAGCG